TGCTCACTGATGTGATCAGACTTCCTCTGGCAGGATTTGAATTCTCCTCTCCATTCCCCAGCATCTCATGGCTCCCTGCAGGGGCTAGCAAACTCTGCCAGCCTTCACCCGCATGTTTGCAATCCACATGGCATTTCAAAGGCAGAGCCCCATATAGTGCTCATGATTTTGGCTGCAGCACCCGGGACAACCTTGCTGGTGGTGGTCATAGGGCTGTGTTTGCCACCTCTATCTAAAGCTGATTTCATGTTCTGGGTTCAGACCACTCCTTAGTGTCTCCTTGGATCCCCAGGCTACTCTTTTAGGATGACAAATTCCCTAGACTTATGATAGGATTGACTGCTCAATCCATTGAATCATTCTTTTCTGTTTTGGCCAGGGCATAGTTTCATTTCTTTCTTTTTTTTTTTTCTTTTTCACTTTAAGTAGAACTGTGCATTTATGGAAAAGACCTATGTACAAAGTGATATGTGGTTATAGGGCATTTATAGGCTTGAACACGTGGCCATGACAGGCAATAAAACCATGCAAGTTACTATTTATTGCACTTCTATGATGCGTGAAGGGCTATGAGAAGTTGATGCATATTTCATTTCTAGTCACCAGAGCAACAGTATAGGATACAGAAGGTTAACAGCATTGATTGAACCCTTACTGCATGTTAGAGCAAAGTTGTGCCAGTGTTGGTGCTAAATATCCTTGGCAATTTCATTTACCCCCCCCAAACAACCTTGTGATACCACTAATGTTGTCATCCCATCTCACAGCTGAGGAGCTTGGGGTTCAGAGACAGTAAAAAATGTGTTCAGGTTCATAGATGAGCAAGTTGAGGGAACCAGGACTCACATGTGGGGCCAGACACAAGAGATCTCTTGTTTTATTGTAAGCAGTAAAGCCAGGAGCTGCGCTCCAGAGGTCTAGCTCTGGAGTTGATATTCTTAGCCTGCTTATGGTATTTTGCCTAACCGGAGAAGTGCACAGGCTCCAGAAAATACAGCTGCAACATCATTCCAGTGTATGGTGCCCCAGCTTTCCACCTCTAGTTTGCAGCATTGGTAGCAATCACACGTCAGGTTTGCTTCCCAGCTGTCAGGCTAAAGACTCATCTCCCTTCATCTTACACACTCCCTCCTAGGCAGGTATCATCAACTTCACCTGGCAGCTGTGAAAATGCTCCCTTGTGTTGGGTGGAAAACATTTTCATGCTGCCACCATCTCCCTTCTAGCCTTGTCTTTCTCAACATCCCTGGCATCTTTTAGGAGGGAAAAGTTCTTTTTTTTTAATCTTGTAAATCTCATTCAATTTCCTGCTGCTCTTTCCTTATCAGACAGGCTTACTCATCTTGCTGGTTGCTGTCTTCCTTCAGGCTTTCAGGTTCAAGTTCATCTTTTCCTCCTTGCAATACCTCCTCTTTCACACTATCTTGGCTCTCACTGGTCCCATTAACATCCTCAGCCTTTCCTGCTGGCCTTATGGAATGACTGTATAGGTCTCTATGAGAGAAGCATTTTGCCCACTGAACCAGAGGGGAAGGGAAAAGGAAAGCGACAGTTTCAGGAACAGCTCAAGGTTCTTAAATGTCCACTGAGCATATAGTATGAGGGACCGAGATTACTTAACTTCTGGGAAGTAGTGAAGCTGGGATGAGGCATCCTGGTTTGTGTGGCCAGAGACAAGATGCCTTTCTTCTCTGAACTCAGTTTGCCCATCTGTTAAGTGAGGTTAGAGGTATGCACAGACCACAGGACGGGTGAATAAGACGGGTGAAAAAGGGTTGGAATGGAGAAGGCGCTGAGTAAGGAGTGCTTTCCTCAGACCAGGCACTATGCTGATATCAGCTTTAGGCAGATGATACCATTTACCAGAGTCTACTTCTGGGTAAATGGACACTCGTATTACCCCCACTTTCCAGATGGGAAAAACCCTGGAATAGGGCAGTTCAGAATCCTTCAGCTAGGGCAGAGCTCCACTTTTACTACCCATCTGAGATTCTTGCATCCCACTTGAGACCAGTTTAAGTAGCCTGCCCAGGCTGATTCCTTAAAGAAGGTGATGGGACCACCTGATTGTCCCAAGCTTTGCCTCCCATCCTGGGGACTCCAGGAGGCCACAGCAGCCACCAGGTTCCCCCAGCACTGGCTCCCTTGTGGCAAACATTCAGCAGTTCCCCATCCATCCCTCCATTCCCACTCATGCCACAGATCACCACCACGAGAATTCACAAAACACGAGGTAAGTCTACTGCTGGGAAGAATGATTCAATTAAAATGTCAGTTTTCAACAATATTAGTGAGGCCTGTGGTCTGTTAGCACACACCCGGCACGTCTGTGCTTCCCCGTTGATAGCTGGGTAATGAGGGTTGGCTAATTGCTGGTGGCTGGGGTTGGGGGTGGTTTCCTGTGGAGAACTCAGCAAGTGGAGTTCTACTCTGAACCAAGTACTTGTCTTTGTGCACCTGCCAGACCCTCCTCTGGCTTACTGGTGAGCTCAGCAGCCCCGCCTCCTCACAGCTCAGTGGGTAACATGAGAATCCAAAACTCAGAGCTGTGAAAGAACAACACTGATGGTGAGTGTGCCAGACACCAAACTGAGGGCTCCACCAGCACCGTTACCTCCATCCACATCCCCTCTGCTCACCACCATTCCTCCTTCCATACTGCCCATTTCACAGATGTGCAAACCGAGGCACACAGTCACAAAAAGTCCAATGCCACCCTAGCAGACTGCATGAACTCTGTACTTTGATTGGCAAAGATGTGCAAGGGGCCTTCAACAAGTTCATGGGAAAATGTATGTCAGGAAAACAACTACACACGGATTTGAAAAAGTTTGGCACCACAATAAACTTATTTTTTCATTCCTGTTCCTCCCCACCCCTCTTAAATGATTCTTCATGCTTCTCTCTCCCCACACCCTCCCCCATGGCTTCAAGAGAATGACTTTAGGATTTCACTTGTGCACAGACCTGCTAGGCTTTTAAAACGGTGCCAGCCCATGCCCTTTGGACAAGTGTGGCCTCCCCAGCCATTCTTTCTTGGGATGCTTCCGGCATCTGGCTCCATGCCCTGCTTCCGTTGTTGTAGGTTCCCAGGTGGGATGCCCTTGAACTCGGAGTCTCTGAGGTCCTTTGGCATAGAGCAGGTGGTCTTCACAGCTAGCTGAGTACATACACACATCAAAGCTGCTTCTAATCCCAGCCCCTCACTCTGAAATCTCTAAATGCTGGCTAGGTCCATACCCAACACACGGATGTCATATAGCAGGTGCCAATGCTGTGGGCCAGAGAGGTCCTGCCGGCATGGGAGGGAAGGTCTGGGGGCACTTTGACTTGCTCCTTGAGGTCACTGAAGGGCCCAGCTTCAAATTCCCGAGAGGTAAGCTTCTCTTTTGGCTTTATATCTGTCCCCTCAAAGGAAAAAGAGCCTGGGAGAGTGAGCCAGTGACTGCCTCCATCACTGGCGGGGCTTGGGTCTATTCTGACAAGAGGGCTGGGGGAGAGGGTCCAGTGCTTCTGGGACACAGCCAGCATCACCCATCATTGCCTTCTCCAGACCTCAATTCCCCAGAGGGAACTCTGGGGAGAAGGCTCGGGAGGACAGCAGTGGGAGGTGCGACCTGGAAGGGAATCAATCTGGGCTGGAGGTAATTACAGGACACGTGCTCCCACCCCGGGCAGGGCGAATCAAGCTGAGCAGCTCTCCTCCTGCAGCCAGCCGGCACAATTACTTAGGAATAAAAACCTGCTCACTGGCTCGGGGCTCCGAGGCACACAGGGTGAAGTCAACTTGAGCTTTCTTGTGCCTGCCCAATTAGGGGTGGGGGCACTCATCGCAACAATTGGCCCTGACTGCCACATTGGGTGGATGTTTGCTTTGGAAAGGAGACCTCTCTGAAATCCAACTCCCAAGTCTCAGAGATGCTGAATGTCCTCAGCCTGAACATGTCAGGGTGGCTGCTGCTGTCATTCTATAGCCTGCACCTGGGACTTTTTCTCCTTCCTGCTCCTTCCCTAGCCTCTCCCATATCCTTGCCTGCAACGGATCTTTAGGAATCTTTCTGCCATAGGGACAGTGAGAGGGGGAAGTGGGAGCCCAAGCTGGAGTCCCAGGAGAACAAACACCTTTCTGTCTCAACACCCACCCAAGCATTCGCAACCCCTCTCCACCTCTCCAGCGGCAGCTCAGCTCTCTCCAGGAATTCAATCTAAGTCTTGGCCACACTTTGGAGAGGGCACTGGGAAGTGGCAGCAGCCACACACATCCGCAGCCAGCAGCTAGTGAGCCGCCCTGGTTTGGTGGTAGATGGCCAGACCAGGCCAGGACATCCTGTAGGTCTTCAAGGAGACTGTGTGACCCTGGGAAGTGGCAGCCCTGGTGGGGTGTGTGTGTGTGTGTGTGTGTGTGTGTGTGTGTGTGTGTGTGTGTGTGTGTGTGTGTGTGTGTGTGTGTGTGTGTGTGTGTGTGTGTGTGTGTGTGTGTGTGTGTGTGTGTGTGTGTACCTGCGCCCTTGTCCCAACCAGACACAGTCCTGCAGACCCTTACTCCCTTCTGCCGGCAGGGAAGGCGCGGGAGCAGCAAGAAGGTATCCTTGCTCCATTGCAAAGCTCAGCATCAGGGTCTTCTGGTTTTATCTAGAGTCAGGCTGGGGCACAGCGTGGGCAGATGTGCCCCGGGGTTAGTAGTGCTGGGAGAAGCAAAGCCTCAAACAAAGCTTACCGTCCAAATCCAGCTGCCCAGTCACTCAGGACTCCTTCCGACGCGCGCGCACACATACACACACCTGCACCGAGCCCTTCGCCTGCCGTGCACACACGGACACGCACCCCCTTCCTTTCCCGGCCTCAGCAACTTCCTCACCTCCCCACCCCTCGCCCCCAGATCTGGAAATCTCCGTAGATGCCCGTCCAGGCTTAAAACTTTTTTCACAAGGGGCGCCAAGGAACTCATGGGGAGGGAGATGGGATTCAGGGCGTTGCTCCCTTTTTCCAAAGCTCCTCACCTGGTAAACCGAGGCACAGTAAGAGGCTGTAGTAGATCACGGGTACGAAGCCCAAGCCACAGGCCGAGCTGGGGGACCAGGGTAGCGAGCTGTTGGCGACCAGGTGGGCGTGTGTGTGCTCCATGAGCGCGTCCTTGGCTCCCCGCGCCGCTCCGCGCCCGGCCTTGCCCGCCCGGCTCTGGACGCCGGCTCGGCGCTGGCGGCTGCGGAGACAGCAGCTGGAGCTGAAGCTGGAGCAGCAGCAGCAGTGCCTGTCTCCCCGCACGACTTGCTTCTACCCTGACCGTGGTCCCCTCTCAGCTCCGCTCCACACTGCACCTGCCCTCCTGGAGTCTCGCTCAGCTCTCCGGCGGGCAGCGGGACACAAGGTGCCAGGAGCGAGGACTCGGGAGGGGCTCCCGGAGCCCGATGGTGCGCCTCCCACCTCGGACCGGCTTGGCTCCCACCTCGGAGTCGGGGGTGGGGGGACTGGGATGCCGCGCCCCGTAGCCAATCAGCAACTGCAGGGACGCGGGAGGGATTGTGAGTGGAGGGGCGGGGTGGGGTGTGTGTGTGTGTGTTGGGGGTGGTGGTGATCCCAGCTACCTCCCCTGAATCAGTTTTAGCGAAGAAGGAGGATTTGGCCTTGGACACCCCAGCACATGGGCGGGCAGAGATCAGGGTCCCGAGGTCTTTAAGCCCGCGGAGTGGTAGCGGTTGGCTTTGCCTCTCCTGCAGCGATTCCTTCTCCTCCCAGCCTTCTCTCCGGCCTCCTCCCCTTCCTCGGCTTTGTGTCCAAGCGGAGAATTCTATATCCAGCAAGTGGGAGCAGGGGGCTGCCGGGGTTGCCAGAATGCCACAGGGGTGCCAGTTATCCTGATGCAGGAGCTCAAACGGGCTGGGTGGGTTTGTCTGTGTGCGTGTGCATGGACTCCAGGACGGTCCCTGAACTGAAGTGCATTGGAAGGCAGAGGAGGCTGGCCCGGAAGAAGCCTGCTGCCAGGCAGAGCTTCAGTCTGTTCAGATCCACAACCGCCAAAGCTCACACAAAGACGGACCCAGACCAATGGGTGCAGCCATAGACTCCTCCGGGAAGGCAGATGGCAGCTCACCACACACAGACACCCATGCAAACAGAAGGAACCTTCAGCCAGGTGTTCAAGAAAGCTGTTTCTATACACACGTACGTCCACAGCCAGAAGCATGCGATGGCTACGCAGGTGATTCCAAGCAACCCCAGGCCAGCTTTTCTAGAGGCACCACAATATATGGATAAGAAAGACGTCTGTCTGGTGCTTAGCCCAGTGTGGAGATCCTTAGTCCAGTCAAGGACCCTGCAGGAATCCTCATTGGAGGGGTTTGCAGCAACTAGCTGTAGTCAGCATGGGTGCTGTGCTCTGAGAAGCCCACCACTACCTTGCTTTTCCCTAGGGTTCCCTCCCACCCCTCAACATCTGTCCTAGAAAGAGGGAACTGGCTGAACTTCCCCGGCCTCTTCCTGGTCCCTCAGGGCAGAGGGGACTCCAGTCCCTCCTGCCCAGCAAAGGGCAGGTGGCAGTCCAGCCCCTATCTTTGCTCCCTAGGGCAGGGATTGGGGGAGGGGAAAGAGTCTGCCTCTCTAGCACAGTGTAGAAACCCCAAGGGATTCCCAGCCAGGCAGTTTGTGAAGGCCAGTCTGTTGGATCTGGCTGCGTGTGTGTGGTCACTGAGGTGACAGGCTGATGGAGTCACGTACGCCCAGGGACCGGTTCTTTCAACCCTCATTAGGCATTAGTGCTTTATTGTGACAGCTCTTGATGGTGTGTATGGTTGCTGCTTGTCCACTTTTATGGACTCCCATGTGACCGCATGGCTTACATCAGGACAATGAACATATCCTTCACCTTATGTGTTGATCATTTCCTTGTGATGAGAGTATTCACAGATTCTCTAGCTATTCTAAGCACTGACCACCCCAAGCAAAACCAAAACCAAACTCTTACTGCCTGGATCAATGAAGCAGGGCTTGGCCACTATAGCTGTTCAATAAGCAATTGTTCAAAAAACCCACAGAATGGATGCATCTGCAGGTGGCTGGGATGAATGAGAAGCTGAGGAGTGAGGAAGGAGTGTGATTTGATAAAGGCCCTAGGGTCTTCAGAGATTTCCCTACCTTGTAAAGCCTCAGGGTTTTTGCACTGGCTGTTCCCTCTGCTTCTCCATCGGCAAGCTGTACAGCCACCTTCTGTCCTTCCCTAAGACCTTTGCTCATGTGTCCTCATCTCATTGCTGTTTTCCCTTCCTATCTGATCAGAAACAGAAATCTCTTCTATGCTCCCACCCCCTCTGCCCAGCAAAACATAAGCATTCTATTTCTTTGTGTCCTTTGGAAGGGCAGGGCCCTTGGTTCATTTTATTCATGGCTTCATCCCTACGTGCCTGCAGGTTGCAAATTCTCAAGAAACATCTAGATAATGGACAGCCCCAGCACTCTCCAGCACAGGGCCTGCTGGATAGAGGGAAAATAATTTATCTTTGTGTTTGCAGGTTGGAGTGTCAGAGTGTGGGTGCTGCTAGGGCTGGGGACAAAGTCTGAGGTTGAGCATGTAAATATCCTATCAGACTAGTTCCTCCAAAAATGGTTTGAATGGCTCATATGCTAGGGCTCTAATTAGAGACTCTAAATATTTTTTAAAAACTAACCAACACAAAATAATAGTACATAGCTGTGGGGTAGCAGGTAAGATTTGAGTACACTGATAGAATTGCAATGATAAAATTATGGTAATTACCACCTCCTCATTCATTAGTTATTTTCCAGTTATTTTGTAGCTGCTTTGAAATATGCAGCAAAATTTTGTTAACCAGAGTCACCCTACTGTGTTATAAAACTCTAGAACGTACTCCTCTTGTCTAACTGCAGTGGAGACCCTGTAGGACTAGAAACCTAAAAGTGCAGAAAGTCTGGGCTGTGGAGGAAATCATGTTACATCCTATTGTGTCAGAGCCCTTATTTCCCCATCTGTGAAATGAGGATGAAGTATGCCAAGGATACTGAGCATGAAGAGAGGGAATGCAGCAATAGCACAGGGCTGACCAGAGATTTTGTAAACTGGGGAGCTGGATTGGATCCTTTGTTGACTCCATGGAGATCCTTGGCAGCTTGTCAAGGTCTGGGCTTCCCAGGAAATAGATAACTTAGATGAGAAGATTTTTAAATTTTGGGGCAGGCTTTGAGTGTTCTAGGCAAGGGGCAGAACGAGTTAGCAGCCAGTCTATTTAATTTAGACATCAGGTGTTTTGACTCAGTGGTTAAGAAGGTGCTTGGGGGCCCGGCGAGGTGGCGCAAGTGGTTAAGGTCCTCGCCTTGCATGCCCGGGATCCCATATGGGCGCCGGTTCTATCCTGGCAGCCCCGCTTCCCTTCCAGCTCCCTGCCTGTGGCCCGAGAAAGCAGTCGAGGACAGCCCAAAGCTTTGGGACCCTGCACCCGCGTGGGAGACCTGGAAGAGGCTCCTGGCTTCGGATCGGCATAGCATCGGCCGTTGCGCTCACTTGGGGAGTGAATCATCGGACGGAAGATTTTCCTCTCTGTCTCTCCTCTCTGTATGTCCGCCTTTCCAATAAAAAATAATAAAAATAAATCTTAAAAAAAAAAAGAAGGTGCTTGGGACTCCCACATCCCAGATTGCCTTGCCTGGGCTTGACCCCCATCTGTATTGCAAAGTCTAACTTCTTGCTCATATGCACCCAGCAGATGATGGTTCAAGGGTTTGGGTTCCTCCTACCCATGGAGGAGAGAAAGATTGAGTTTGTGGTTCCAGGCTTCAGCTTGACTCAGCCCCAGCTGTTGTAGGCATTAAGGGAGAGAACCAATGGATGAAACATCTCTCTTGTTTAATCTCTCTCATTCTGCCTTTCAAATGAGTACATATAAAATTTTAAAAACCTACTTAATTTTGCTCAGTTGGCTGGCCCTCTTGACTGCCTATGTCTAGTGAATGTTTGTGGTTGGCTAAGTTTATTCTCTTACTCCTTTCCACTGACTTTTGCCAGACACTTAATGTGTGCTGTTCAAGACTAACCACACCATTTTCATGGTTCAATGCAAAATGAAAATGTGAGCCTCATCTCTTGCCCCCAAATAATTAAGAATTTGGAGGCAGGTATAGCAAAGCCTTAATTAGTGCAACCATGGAATCTTTCTAAGCTTGGAGCCCTGTGTAATTACACAGGTCACACACTCACCAAGCCAGGAACACTTCAGACTCAGAGTTGAGTGACAGGTTAGCATTTAGGAAGGTTCATCAAGAAACAGTTAAGTCTCACTTCGCATTGTCCCTCCATCGTATTCATTTCCAGGTGCAAAAAGCAAGGCACAGAGAAAGTCAACCATTTGCCCAAAGCCACTTGCCTGGGATTGAGTTCAAGGCAGTTTGACTCTAGAGCCTGTGGGGAAACCATTAGGGCGTTTAGACTGGCAGAAGTACAGGCCAGAGAGCTGTCATCCACTATAAGATAGGTTCCATTACCATGTCCCCACAGCCAAGCGTGGTTGCCAGCTATATGTCCAAATATAAGTTCATTCTATCTCTTTCTCTCTCTTTTCTTATTTTATTTATTTCTCTCTCTTTCTAGATTCATTTATGTAGCTATTTATTTGAAAGGCAGAGAGGGAGGGAGGAAGAGAGAGAATCTTATATCGCTCAATGTTCAAAATAGCTCGGGTTGGGCCACGATGAAGCCAAAAGTCAAGAATTCCTACCTGACCACAGGGGTCCAAGTGCTAGGCCAACTTCCACTACCTTCACAGGTGCCTTAGTAGGGAGCTGGATTTGAAGCAAAGTAGCTGAAATTCTGACTAGCACTCTAAAAGGGGTGTGCCAAGTGGCAGCTCTACCACTACCCCACAATGCCCTCCCCAGGAGATAAATCTTAAATGAGTAAATAAAATTCTAGAAATGTGCTCAGGACATTAAGAGAACCTGCAAACACAATTGCCTATGAATCCTGGCAGATAATAAGCATGAGTGATACAGAGATACTGTATATTGTCTACTATGTATATGTGTCCATGTGGATGGATGTGTGTCCATGTGAATGAAGAAGTGTGCATAAATGTTCTTGTGTGAATATGTGTGCACCTGTAGTAAAATGAGGGTGTGGTTGATGAGAATGTCTACGTATCAGGGAAAGTATTAATTTACAAAAAAATATTCTCTAAGATTTATTTATTTAAAGTCAGAGGGAGGGAGAAAGAGGGAGAGAGAAAGAGGGAGAGAGAGAAAGAGGAGAGGAGATCCTCCATTTGCTGCCCCATCCTCCTGGATA